AATTTTATTTCGTTTTGTATTTTTTTATTCCTTTGAAACTTATGATTTGATTGGCTAATTATCATGTGAAAATACATCAATATTTGTGTAACATTGAACGTTTCCCTCTGTTACAATTCGTACCACATATATTTTTTGTGACAAATAAATTTCGGATTTTCGGATTAAGTTTACGTTTTTTGTTAGCACAAAATTCCAAACACGGATTCTGGGCCTGAAATCAATATAGAAAAGAAAGTATGTACGTACGTACGTACGCAATCGGGTTTCGTATTATGCGTTTTATAATTTAAATAATAAATGAAACGAGTTTACTTTGATCACGTGAATTGTTGACGGCTAAAAATGATGAAATGATTAGAATGATTAAAAGCCATCCATATAAGTTGAGTGACAAATACGGTTATCGTTATACAATTCAGATAAAATAACTCTGTCCTCAGTCCGACTTTTACCTCTCTCTTTTTTGAAAAAAGCTAAGACAGAAGTTGCTTTATAACTCGCAAATTACACAACCATCAACGACAAATTAAAAGATAATAAAAATGTAGGCCTTTAATTTCTGTAAAGTGAATATATTAGAATTGAACCTATTTATTTATCTTCTTGACGGCAAAAAATTTATTTTATAAACATAAAAGTATATATACTTGAGTCATAAAATTGTCCGGAGATGCTTAGAAATTCAACTTTCGTTTACCTTTAAAAAGTTATTATACAAACATGAAAGAATTTGGACAATGAAAGACTAACAAAAATTTGATAATAACTTAAATATAGGTCGGCTACAGGTGAAGCTTATGATCCTTATGTACCAAAAGATGGCACCGCTGGCGGACCGCCAAGTAAAACAGCACAGATTCAAAAGCAAATTGATGAAACAGTTGGCATTATGCGAGACAATATCAATCGTGTAGCCGAAAGAGGAGAGAGACTAGACGCTTTACAAGATAAGACGGGTTTGTATATATAACATTGGGTCAATAAGGCCAGGTTCTTTAGTAGAACATTAATAAATAACATTATTGTTATTATTATTCCCCTGTGAATAGAAAATTTATCCGTGTCAGCACAAGGATTTCGCCGTGGTGCCAATCGAGTGCGCAAGCAAATGTGGTGGAAGGATATGAAAATGAGAATTATCATTGCACTTGTAGTAATCGCCTTGCTGCTAGCTATTATCTGTGAGTATTATTATTATTATTCTTCTTCTTAACGCTTACGGATTGTGTTTTCACATGATATGTTCGGGACTTTTTATGAGTTGAGGCAAAGTGATAAATTCTCTAAATTAACCAATGTATTTACATTTTTCTTTTATAGTGCCACTTGTTCTCAAAAATAAAGGCGATGACGGCAAGAAGCAATAGTAAATTTTCTCAAAACAATTATTTCAAGATAATTATTGGGTGATCTGTCATAAAAGAATATTATATTACTTCTCTCTTTTCTAATGATTTTTCAATTTTAATGCATCATTCTTCATGTCAGGGATCCTTTATATGAAATAACTAAATTTTACAAAACTGATTATTTTTGTTTCCTCATTATTATGTTAGTAATAATCGTGGATTCATAAATAACCAGACTTAGTTCCTTTGTCTTAATATCTTTGAGAGATTTCTTGCATTATTATTATTATTTTATATATATATTAACATTTTTGTAACTTTATTTCAAAATAATGTGAGAAAATACATGTATCCGGATTATAACTAAAATTCTTAATATCATGAATATCGTGAATTTATTGGTCTTGTGTAAAAGCGACTCCTTTTATTATAATATTTTGCGTTAGTACATCTGAAATACGTAGTATTCTTGAATTTATTCTTGAATTTTATTTAGGGATCTACGTTACACTAGATTATTATCACATATCGATATCTGCATCGGGATTAAAAAAAGATTTTTGATCTATTGATGTATCGATATTAATCCTTAAACATTAATATGCCTTTAATAAATGTTGCAAGAGCTTCCGTTAGATTGATCGTGAATAAGCCTTTTGTGAGCACGAGAATTTTTCCAAAGAAATTTTTTAATGTCTCATCAAAAATTAAATCTGATAAATTATTCGTTGTATGTTAAAAACTTTGAATACTTATTACTTTTAAGTAAATTTTTTTTTTTTAATGACTGGTTTATACTTTTAATAAAGCATCGAGATACGCCCGAGAATAATCCATCAATTCCGTTCGAATTTACAGCAGACAATTTAAAGCGTGCACAAGAGATCATAAAGCGGTATCCACCACAATATAAAAAAGCAGCTGTTATACCTTTATTAGATCTTGGTCAACGTCAGCTCGGATGGACAAGTCTTTCGGTTATGAACGCTGTTGCCAAGTTATTGGAAATACCACCTATGCGCGTATATGAAGTTGCGACTTTTTACACTATGTTTAATAGGTATTTTTATTGTAAAGCAAACTTCTTGGGAATTTGATCCAATTAATCATTATTATACTTTATATTAGGGAACCGGTTGGGAAATATTTCCTTCAACTTTGTACAACAACACCATGTCAATTGTGTGGATCAACCGAAATTCTAAAAATAATTGAAAACCATTTAAAAATAAAAGTCGGTGAAACCACTCCAGATAAGCTTTTTACGCTTGTAGAAGTAGAATGTGCAGGAGCTTGTGTTAATGCTCCAGTTTTGGCAGTTAATGATGATTATTATGTGAGTTATATATTTTATATATTTTATATAGTCTTAAGCTTTTATCCAATGAATATTAATAATAATTGTATAAATATTTTCAGGAGGATTTAACACCGGAAACTACAATTAAACTTCTTGATGCTTTTAGATCTGGTAAACCTCCCAAGCCTGGTCCAACAACCGGTCGTCATACGTGCGAGCCAAAAAGTGGATTTACCACCTTGACAAGTGAACCTACGGGTCCAGGTTTTGGAGTCAGAGACGATTTATGAGATTATTCTAGAGCAAATGAGTCATATTTATATTTAGATAACAATAATGTGCATAATATATATATATATATTAGATTCTATTAGGTA